ATATATATATATATATATATATATATATATATATATATATATATACATATATATATTTGTAATACTATTTTGCACGACTACATTATAGCGCAGAACATTTTTGTGTGGAAAGCGGTGTACCTCGTTTTACTGTAAAACAATCCGTCGCAGCGAGCAAAGCGTCTGGTAAGATATGCTTGCTGTTCATTAAAACCTCTATCGTCTGTACCCGAATTTCATTCGTTTCCAAACTCAGACAAGTATCGGCAACTTTGGAAACTAATCTCGCCTCATTAAAATCCTCTTCCCTCAGAAATGTTCGCAGTTTCCTAAGTAGATGTATGTCGCGTGCCCGTTTTCCGTTTTTGCTATTAAGCGCAAAGTGAAATGGAACACGAATCTCTTTTAATCCTCCAAGCGGGTCGATAAATACACAAGAATATTGCGCTTTATTCTTCGATAAAACGGCACTGTCATTCGCGCCAAGAAAACCATAATTAATGTACAGTAATCTGCAAGAGACAAGTTAGTACATCAGACGAGTATACGTTCACACGAGAGAGACGCGAGACGGAAAGTGTGGAGGACGAAACGGAAGGATGACATAGAAGCAGTGGATAGAGAGCGATAGATCGGCCGACTTACCGTCCATTTTTGCTAGCGGTAAACGTAGTGATCTTTGGACCTTGCTGTATACTCCAAATATCTATCACACCTTTCTTTGGTGCGTAAATAACTAGAAATAGAGCGGTGCGCAAGAAAGCTTTACGTCCAGATTTATCAATATTCTTGCGTGTTCCACGATCTCTCTCCTCGGCGACTTCAATCCAACCGCACTGAGCGTCGCGATATCCTTTCCACATCCTTAGAGCTATACCCTTTTTATTATTTACGAGAATTACTCTACCCATAGCGTCCGATATTACCGAAAACATCTTGTTCGGGCAACAAACGATGCACGCACCTTCTCTCATAATATCGCTTAAACCAAATCGACACGTCATTGTCTCTATGGATTCATGGCTACGACCTTTCGATGCTTCGGGTGCAGCATTCTTGGACGTTCCACGAAACCACCTGAGGAAAAATCACGTTATGCTATTAACGCAATTCTTTAGAACGTTGTCGGTAATAGCGCGCGCGCGCGCGCTGAGGCTTGTTACGTATTATTTCTCATTTCGTCAAGGTCGCTTAAATATGCACGTTCGAGAACTTTTTAGCCAATAAAAAAATCCGTATGGATGCTGTACAGATAATAAATTTTATTGGCTAAGAAATATTTCAAGAGGTACGCAAAAGACGACCCGTATATATAAAAATTGACTAAAAACAACATCACTTACGGTACAGCGGTACCAATAGCGTTAGCCAATTTGCTCGCCATAGCGATAGCGACATCCGACAGCACCGGTGCGTTACCACCTTCCAGTGCATAATGGAATCCTACAAATGGTCGTTTTCCGGTCGCAATGACTAACGTGTGTTGCGGCGCACTCGATCTGTACGTTGCATTATATCCACCGCATATCGAAGCTGTCATTAAATGGTCAAAGCTATTTATCGACGTTGTACCAATCACTTCTAAATCGTTTGTAATGTCTTGATTTTTGAACGTCCATCTTTTGTATGACAACGTTGTAACTGGTGGTATATCATTGCAATTCGCTTGAACTGTAAAAAAAAAAAAAATAGAAAAATAAAAAGATATACGTGAAATCTTAAACGAAAGACACGGGGAGCAGTGAACAACGATATACCTTTAGCCAAATGATTTCTACAGGCACGTAAAGTTGAAAATAACGGAAATCCTTGTAATATACAAACACCACTGTTGTATAAAATATAAACTTCTTCGCTAGAGCCGGCATCACCAGCGTGTTTGGGTAAGCAAAACGATTGACACTTTATTCCTAAAATCGACTCATTATGGATTTGCTCCCCAAAGAGCAACGCACCCGTCTGATAAAAACAGAATAACGACGTAAAATGAATCGACGAAACGGAATACGACAATAGTAAAAGAAGAACGTAATACTCTCTTACTTCCGTGTAGAATCTAACGAATCCTGTATTATATCCAACAGCTATACAGGTCCAATCTGGACCGGCAGCCTTTCCTAAAGATATCAAAGGTAAGCAGATCACCGATGTTACCCATTCACTGAAAACAGCCTTCGTTATACGTTAATTTAAAAAATATTTTTCTAGTATACGTTAACAATGTTACGTACTTTTGCTCTTTCGTCACTTCTCCGTGCCACGTTACACGGAACTTGTATTTTACCTCGCCTAATTCTTGCGAATCCCATCTCGCTATTAATAAATATAAAAAAAAATATTTAAAAATTTTCAACCATGCATGTGTATGTGTGTATATAAATCAAGCCCTCTCATCAACTTGGATTATACTTGTGTTATTTGTCATTGGAAAAAAAATATACATACATGTGCAAATATTCAAAAAAGTATTTGCACATTCACAGTTGTCTTCCAATAACTTTATTTGAAGGAATAATACGTACGTATGAATTGTATCCACAAGTAACTAGTAATATATAAATATATGTATATGCTGTAGGTATCGCGAGATACTTGTGAATACAACTTGTACGTATTCCTTCGAATTAAGGTATTGTAAGAAAACTGGATATGTATATATATTTCCCAGGTAGCAAAGTGACGTCAAATGACGTCTCCAACATCAATGAAACGTCATTAAAACGTCTTTGGACGTCCTGCTACACGACACGAGTTCTTTTTATGACAATGCGTAAATGATATTATACAAGATTTGCACCTACAAACAAATATAATCATCCTTGTATTCCAAGCCATCGTAAGTACATCCCCAACCGACGATAGCGATATAACACAGTCTTGAAGAGGCAATTCATCGCTCGGTATATACTCGACTGAAAGAAATGTACTGATATATCAAAGTGCATACTATACTCGGCATATCAAATAGAGAACTCACATTTGCCAACGGTATCGCAATAAAGCAATTTTTTAACATTATCCACGTCTGGTATGATTGCTATTCCTTTAATTTGACAGGACATTACGCCTTGATGGTTATGTACAATGGTAACACTTCCGTAAACTTATTCTTCGTATTTACTTGATTCTTTTACCACGATATTTAAATATATGACAAATATATATGGTCTGTTGTTGTATATAATACATATACACAGCACGTCCTTATTCAATAGAAATAAACACTTATAATTTATAACTTTTTGATTGTCCCATAACGTATATTTTACTTGCTTTCTGTTATAAGATCATAAAAATTATTCGATACTAATTAGTGACAGACGATTGACAACTGTTGACAACACATCTGACAACCTCGTTTACAAGACATTTCTTAAAGCTGGATGCACACGTGGCGACGAGAAGATACGGTGGCGCCCCCCCGGCGAAACTACTGTAAAGGCACGTTCACCAATTATAACCGACTTGGCAGGATTGACCAATAGAAATGAATTTACCCTGCAAACTAAAAGTGCCCATCTATACAATAGGTGTTTTAAGCCCCAAGTCCTAAAAATTGACCAATCACAGTCACGTATTCTCTTCAAATTCATTTGTGCGTGAACAATTTCTGGCTTAGGGCGCAGATGGGCACTAACTGTGGCCGTATCGTGGCGCCGATTTGTTATTCTGCAGGCTCGCGAGAGTTATATTTAATTTAAATTTTAAACGCCACGTATCGTGGCGCCGATTTAAATTTTAAGCGCCACGTATCGCGCGCCGATTGGTTGTTCTGCTTGCTGGCCCCTAGGGAGTTAAATCTAATTTAAACTTTAAGCGCCGCGTATCGCGGCACCGATTGGTTGTTCTGCCTGCAAGCCCCTAGGGAGTTAGAACTAATTTAAACTTTAAGCGCCGCGTATCGCGGCGTCGATTGGTTGTTCTGCCTGCAGGCCCCTAGGGAGTTAGATCTAATTTAATTTTTAAGCGCCAAGTATCGTGGCGCCGAATTAAATTTTAAATAGTTCACGCATACACTTTCCACGCGAACCGAGGTTCACGCACACCCCCCCGTGCTTTCGGAGGAGGTGCGGTAGTCCCGAAATATTAATGTTTATGTATTTAATTAAAAGTTAAACTATAAGTTGCTGTGCATATGTTCACATTTTTGCATCTTAGGGATATTTTGTCGTGAGATATTTTGCCAGAGGATATTTTGTCGCGGGATATTTTGTCGCGGGATATTTTGTCGCATGGGATATTTTGTCGC